TGTAAAGTGAAAAAATGTAGTTGAAGTTGCTTCCCGCGGCCGCTGGGAGTAATTTTTTTCGCATGTAAACTGAAGGCGTGCGCGGTGCATCGCGCCGCGGTCTATTGTTCCGCATGTAAATTGAAGGTGTGCGCGGCGCTTCGCGCAGCGGACCATGTCTAACTCCAGAACGGTAAGTTGGACCTCAGGTAAGTTGAAGTAGACGACCTTCTAACCAGCATTTAAATTTTTCGGGAAATTCAAGAAACTTGTAATTTGATACTAGATTTTTTCCGCAATAAGTTAAACTATAATACAGACTAGGAAAACCTTCAGATATAAATCAACAACACTTCTAAACACAGTAAAATAAAAATGCATTTAGAATTTATTAAAGTATTTTCCACCTCGTGTCCTAGTTCTCCACCCATAAAACCCTATAACCACCGTTTTCATAGGAAAACATGAAGGGAGTAGGGATAAATGAGTGGGCCTATATAAGCTACTGTTGCCCTACAGTCAAACCCACAGTTGGTTTTCAAGACTGGCTCAACTGGTGTGGATCATAAAACAAAAGTTTACTTTGCTTACGCGAATGTGATCGGCAGGGTGGCTGCACTAGATGCCGTGCCCACGGCCATGAAGAAGGCCGGGAAAAGGCCCTTGAAGTAGACCAGTGGGTTTTTGCGACAAACCAGGAAGTAGATCCCCATGAGACTAAGAAAAAGATGGATGAAGAGTCCACTGATCACAGTCAGCATGTAAAGTCCCAGACCCGCCGCCGTTCCAGCCAAATCTTTCAGTCCGATAATTTTTCCGATGATGAGGCAGGTGATGCCGAAAGGAGCAAACCTGACACAAAGGGGGAAGAAAATCACAGAGTATTTAAACATCAATTATCTCAAAACACTAACTCTCATCACGGTAGGGAAATAAATTTTAAGTCAGTGTAGATTAGGATGCTTCTGGTCAGAAATATGCATGAGTGGACACCCGAATACACAGCGGGGCGTTAGGAAGCTACACTAACCACATAATGAGTCTGACCAAACGCATTGTGATTTCGTTCATGATGATGAAGAAATCGAGCATAAGCCGAGCCGACTCGCCCATTGTAGCGATACAGAGACCGAAGGCAACAGAGAACATCACGAGACCTAAAAAGACACAAAAGGGGTGTAAAATGGTTAATTTACCTATTTCGGCCCTCTCAGTTGAGGGTCTTCACACAATTGACGCGCATTTCCAAATGTCAACAGTTGTTTTTAGGGATTTAGGGAATATTGTCAACAGATGAGAGGATTATGCAATGTGTAGTAAAGCGAATATGTTCCAGTCAGCTCGATAAATGATACAACCGTTCTGAGAGAAAAGTAATTTGAATTCTGCATGCGTCAAAGAGCCTTCAAACACTCCTCCTATATTCCAGCATCAAAGAAGACCTCTTCTTTCGAAACCTTGATTTCTTGAACATATTTTGAATTTCTTATTAGGAGTTGGTTATTTATACTGTGGTTTGTTGTGAAGCTGCTCTCGTACAAAAAACATCAGCCAAGCCCCTCAGTAGTAGCAAACACCTTCGCACATGATCAGCCAAAAGGGTGACCTTATCAGGAGGGCATATTCAGATATTGCGTTAAAAATGGACCTATTTGGGATAATAATGACGAACGATGGTTAATTGTAGACCCTGAAAGGGAAATCACAATTCCATTTGACTTAAAACGGTTTCAGTCGGGTTTTAAACTGATTGACACCGCATAAGCGATTAAATTGTGATGGAATTCAAAAGCAACACCGCGGGCCGTGCAAGACCGAAAAAATCAAATCGAAAATCAGCTTATTAGCGAATTAAGCAGATAAGCCTCGCGTCAGCGATGAAGACATGCTAGTTAGACGGCGAACTTAATTTATACTCCAGGCGGCAGGAGTATCGGTAGCTGGAACTCAAAGCTCGAAGTATCATTACTATTAATACTCCTTACTCGGGATTTAAGAAGTGCAGGGCATAGAATACGAAGAGACTCTTTACATCGGTCACCTTCACAAAGGCAGATTATCGAGAACGACGTTGGCTGACACCCACTCCTGCCTAAAGGACGGGATCCCTTCAATGTTCTTTTCTGATAGCTTCGTCACGATTCCAACAACAAAACAGCAGACTCAAACCTACGACAAGGAGCGTTAATCGCTCTGAAATCCGACTGTCTAATGGACAGGACGAGAATGATCTGACTCCCAACTCTTAGTCAACTGCTTGCGTTGCGTGTGACAAAGAATTTGGCCCGTGGGTACCGTGGTCCCGATTCGTATTTGGAACGGTAACAATTGACCTAAGCCGCCATTTATCAGGTGCACGCTTACAGCTCGTGCAGAGAAAATAGCATTAAAACCTCCTTCTTGGAT